GAAGAGACTTGGTAAGAAAGGTAAGTTAGAAACCAAGTCCATCCATTTATTGAAACATTTTCACTGAAAAAGTATGTGACAGGCACTGTTCTCTCTGTGCAAGATAAATTCTGACCTGCATACATTCAAGGGGGGATAGAAGAGGATAGACAATATTCAATTGTCATCTAACTTTTAGCAAGTGTAGAAATTTTTCTGGGCTTTGTTTTCTCTTTGAATCCTTGCCCCTGGAAAGAATATGATAATTTCATGTAAGATATGTGGAATCTAAGATATTATATACTATGTGCTTATCGCAGTATTAGAATATATATTATTCTCTTACATTTTGACAGTATATAAATTAGTAGCTACAGAACAAGGGATTTTCCATCTCTATGACTTACCTTTTGAAGTCTATTTTGAGGTCATTTGAACACCTAAAACCAATAATCAATAAGCAGTTTTTCCCTGAATAATACTTACAAAAGTAATTTTGTAAAGCAGTTACTGTCCTACTAGGGCTATAGTGGAGACGCCAAGTTCAAGACTAATTATACTACTTTTGTTTCTAACTGAAGTTATATCAATAATGACATTTTAGTTTGGAAGTTGTACAATATTCTGCATAGAAAGGAATAGCAAACATTTCTCATGCAAGTCACATCTGAAAATTTTCTTCCTTTTTCCTCTTGTCAAACACCCTGTCGTCAGATTAGAGCTGCTCTTCATGAGTGAGGAGTTCCAACCGCAATCCCACTTGGGGAAGGGAAGGAAACATCATGGCAGCTCAAACAATGGTTTCATTGCTTTATGAGGAATTCCTCCCTGGATACTTAAGAACTAGAATGGAGTCATCAGTCTGGACTTGGGATCCAGAAGGCCTCTAAAAAAGAAAAGTAACTTTAAAAAAGGGGAAAAGCAACATGGAGTCTCAAGAGCCATGGAATATTTTAGGGCAGGATTTTTATCCTGCATGTCCATAGGTAGATAGTGTTGAGAAAACTATATTAAAGAAATAGGTTATGCTATAGTGATACTACTAGATATCTCTTGGGGTTATAAAACTTTTTTTGTTTTTGTTTGGTTTTTTTTTTTTTGGTGAAGTTCTCACTATGGACTCTGTAGGAATTTGGAGTCAAAATTTAAATGTAGTCACTGGTTTAAAATATATTTGGTAACTCCTTACTGTTCAGTCATCACAAATAATGAAATAATGCCTTTATAGCAACTTGGATGAAATTGGAGAACATCATCTTAAGTGAATTTAACACAGGACAGAAAACCAAACACATGTTCTCACTTACGGATGTGAGCTAAACTAAGGATCTGCAAAGGCATAAGAAATAATGTAATGGACACTGGAGACTTAGAAGGTGAGGGGGAAGGGGAGAAAGAATGATAGATCACCTATAGGGTACAAGGTGCACAGGTAGGGGTGATGGGAACACTTAAAGGGCAGACTTCATCACCACTATAAAAGGCAACCATGTAATCAAAAACTATTTGGACACTCTAAAGCTATTGAAATAAAGAAAACATGTTTATTTTATAATTCCTTAGCCACATATATGAACAAAACAATAGCAGGTGAGATTTGCTTCTATTGTTTCCGTAATAAGCAGTATTGAAACCAATCATTGAATGCTATGTAGGGTGGTCTGTTTAGTACAAATAAAAAAACAATAACAACAAATCAGATAAGATGTTTGCCCCCCATCATTATACTTCTGGAAATATGCTTGACAAAATAAAGAGAAACAAGTTTCTCTTCCCCACGTCAGAATAACATTTTTGTGTATGTGAGAATTAAATTGATAAGCGGCTATGTTTGTTCTAAATAGGGTTTTACATCTCGATGTCTTTTCCAGTTTACAGTGAGATGGTATCTACATGGCCAACCATCAACCTTCTTTACTTTAGAAAAATCAGACTATTTAGGCCGGGCTTAGTGGCTCAGCCTGTAATTCCAGGACTTTGGGAGGCCAAGGAGAATGATTTGCCTGAGTCCATGGGTTCAAAATGAGACTGGACAACTTGATGAGACCTCATCTCTACATAAATAAAAAAACATTAGCCGGGCATGGTAGCGCACACCTATAGTTCCAGCTACTTGGAAGACTGAGATGGACAAACTGCCAGATTGCTGGGGTGGCTGTGAATGTGCCACTGACTCCAGCATGGGTGATAGAATGAGATTCCAACTCAAAAAGAAAAGAAAAAATCAGACTATTTAATGGAAATGTTTACATCTTTTATGTAGCATGAATGGTCACCATATGTACACAAACAGTCTTATCTGATAAATGGTTGTTTTTTATGATCTTATCAACTTGAAAAAATATAGGCCTCTTCCAGCTAATAACTGCTCTGCCTTCAGTGATTCCTTCCTAAGAAGATTTATACAGTCCATGGCATTACGTAAATCTTTTGATTGTCTAGCCAAACTCATAAAAACAATATTCAGGAGCCAGACATGAACTTCTACTGTGTAAGTACTCAGCAGAGAGAATTATAGAATTACAGAGTTTCTACAGTGGAAGAATCTCAGTGACATCATGTCTAACCATGTATTCTCACTTGGGGTACAATGAAGCCCTGAGAAGTTGGGTGCTTTTGCCAAAGTCACACAGACACTTTGAAAGGGAGCTGTAACTCAAACCCAGAACTTGTGAATCTCAGTTCAATGTTGATTGTACCTCACCAACCCCATCTGTTTTATTGCAAAAGAACATGAAGAGCATTCTTAGGAATAAAATGCCAAAGGACTCGTGTGATCAAATAAATGCACTATTGTAACCTGGAGTTTGGGTACCTTTTATTGGTTAAATCAGTCAAAACTTTGTTTAAAGTACTCTTTGAGGTTGGGATGTTGCTGACACAAAGAACCCGCAAGTCTCCCTGAGAGGTTACCACACCCTCGTTTGTGTAAACTGCAGTGATGCCCACAGAGTCTTTGATTTAGTTAATGAAAAAGGAGCAGAGATCAAGTTCAGGAAATTAAAGACAAGTAGGTATGCCTATTTTAAAAATAATATCTAAAATACAATATCGACTCTCCTTAAACATTTCTTGTGTTTGCTTCGATCTTGAAATCTGCTAGAAGCCTCTACTTCCCAATTGCAGACATTATTAATTGATATCTTAAGGAATCTATTAGAAATGCATAAAGAACTTAGGTCTATCACAATTGTTATAAAATGTCAAACACCAACACTTCAATATCATTGAAGAGTGGGAGGAATTAAGCATCAAAAACACCAATATTACCAAGGAAAATAAATCAATACTACCAAAAAGAGATCCTGAGAATCTGAAATAGACTCTTTTGAGATCAAAGAGAAGAATGAACTCTTCAATTAATAATATTGTCATAAAACATGCCTGTGCAGAAAGCAATAGGAGGCAAAATTTAGTGCTCAGAAGTTGCCTCCAAAATCTTGACACGTGCAGTTTTCCTTACAGAAAAGGAAAGGTTTATCTGAGACAAAGTATGTAGATACTAGAAATGTAACAATAGGTACGTGCTGATCATCTGTTATTTCTATTAAGGACCAAGTCAAATTCTTGCCTCTTCCTTTAGTAACTTTTATTGAGTAAATGACTAATGACTATTATAACAGGGCATTGCAGTTCTAGCTGATGTTTTTCAGTTAAACGTGTTTTTCAAAAATGGTCTTGGTTAATCTCCTGATCTTGGAGAATGCAATGCTTTTCCCTATTCTCACATTTGCTTCCATGTGTGGGCTGTGGGCATGCTGGGCTCCTGCGTTGCTCTTGAAATTTAGGAATGTGAACTCCAGAAGCATGCCACTCCCTGTGCCTGCTTGACAATGATGTGCTTCCAACTCTCCCAGCCCTGGCTGCCCTCTGCTTTAGAATGGATGTTCAGAGAAGTCTGGTATAATTGTCAGTTGCCTAAGAATAGGATGGAAATCATTTTTTGAGATTATGTTGCAGCATCACTGTGGATACTCCTGGGAGATCAAGGTGCAGCCAACTATAATGTACTGGCCTTAATTTTCTTTGAAAAATATACTGTTTCTTATTATTCCCTCCTCTTACATTCCACTTATTTTTCTTAACTGTTTTTGGCTGAATTATCACATCATTTGATCCTAAGTAGACTTAAGTCTAATCTAATCTAAACTAACTTGCCTGATTTTTGAAATAAACTTCTCTCATTGAATTGGCAATAGTTTCGTGAATTAAGCAGCCAGATCTTTGTTCCTCTATGGATTTGGAACTAAAAACGTCCTTATTTCTTTCTAGGATAGGATACTTATTAAGCATGGTGCCTGTCTGGAAATCACATCACACCTTGCGCACCTATAGTTGGAGGAAAATAATATAATATCCAAAATAAAAAACAAAATCCAAATGCCAAGTTATTTACTTTAAGTAATAAATCATTTAAATATTTCCCTTTGGACTGTATGAATGTTTTTAATAACTCCAGAAGAGGTTCATCTTGATGTGTTAGCTTTCTTTACTATTCTTTAGCCATTTCTGACTACAAAAAATTCTCATGATTTCAATAATTTATAATTAGTTGCCATATAGTTTTAACATAGCTAGCATTCCTTTATTTTGAAAGAAACTCACAGAGAAATAACTGTTTAAAAGAAATGGGCTTGATCAACTTTACTTCCCTTTAAATTTAGAACTCATTTGTACTGGGAATTTTTACAGAAATCTGTCTAAGAACAAGATAATAGAAAAAGAATTTTATTTCTAATTTAAAATTTTAGAATTTTCCTAGCACTTAATTTGGAGTAGATTATGTCTCTGAAGGCCATATACATTTAATTCAGCCAGATTCCAACCCTGCTTCCCTAGGACACTTGATCACTCAAGACATAAAGAGTTCTTTGAAATTCACAGAGGCTTGACTCTTAGAACTCTCTTTGCAGGAAAAAGGTTAAAAATGGAACAAATCCCAAATAGAAAACCCAACAGATGACAGAGGAGGCAAGACCTCAAGGCTGCATTTCCTACCCAGGCTTTTAAGTTCTACTTACCATTAGGACGATCAAAAGGCAAATGTTTCTGAAAAGGAGCCAATCCATTCCTTTGAGTTTCTCTTATACACGAACCCCAGTGAAATTCAATTGCAGTCTCAGTCTTCTGGGTCCTGAATTTGGCTCTGCAGCAAGATGTTCTTTGAGAGGCCCTTTTAGGAGGGCATGGGTGACAACTCTGGTGCTCTCTGGGCAGAGGGATGAAGATAGTCTATACGGACTTGGTTTCCCCACCCCAAACTCCTTGACTGGTCTGGACGTCTAACATTGTTTAAGCTCTGGGTAAGAACTTAGACACACCTTGATTCTTATTGCAATGAAACCCTTTGTTGGACACCAAAGAAAAATCTTACAGAGTGAGGACAAGATTTACAGGGAAGATAGCCAATGAATAATAAATTACTCACAACATAAAAAATAATTAAACTGCTAGGGCCTATCATCATGCTGAATAAAATTAGAAGGCTTCTCCTTACTGCCAACATTGTAAAAGCAAAATTACATATACTGACAACACATGCACAAGTCCACTGCACCACCAGCTTCAAGGAATGATATAGCCGAGATGATTGTTAAAAGGCATCCGGCCCAAAGTATGGTATAGGGAGAAAGACAGAATAATGAAACTCTCATCTTTCTCTCTCTCTTTGATTTCAATAGCTTTAAGAGTACAAGCGGTTTTTAGTTACGTGAATGAACTGTAGTGGTGAAGACGTCTGGGTTTTAAGTGCACCCATCACCTAGTGTGCATTGTACCCAATAGCTGAGTTTTCATTTCTCACCTCTGTCTCATCCTCCCCCACTCCCGAGTCTCCAATGTCCATTATACTACTTTATATGCCTTTGTGGCTCTTAACTCATCTCTTAATTCAGGGGATTCCTGAATCTCTCTTGAAGATGTCCTATGACTGGACTGTACTCTCAATTTTAAAGACGTTCTGAAATAATAAGGTTAAGATGAAGACATTCTCATTTAACTAGTACCAGATGTTTGTCTCCATATTTTGGCACCTTCTTTCTTGATTTTCAGCCAAGCCTACATAATATGATATTTACAACTTTTTTTTTTTTTTTTTTTGAGTTGGAGTCTCACTCTGTCGCCCAGACTGGAGTGCAGCGGCCGCTCCCGGCCACCGCAGCCTCAACCTACTGGGCTCCGGCGATCCTTCCGCCTCAGCCTTCCGAGTAGCTGGAATTACAGGCACGCGCTACCACGCCCAGCTGATTTTTTGATTTATTGTAGAGATGAGGTCTCGCCAAGTTGCCCAGGCGGGTCACAACATTGTTTTAAAGTAGCTAAAATAGGGCAACCCTTTTGGGTCTCCTCCCACTGTGGGAACTTTTCTATCCTCTCAATAAATCCTGCTTTCTAGAAGAAAAAAAAAGTAGCCACAATACAGTTTTCTTACTCCTCATGACATTTCCACTGATATAAAAGTACATAATGTGAGTGTCTGGTCAGGCATAGTGGCTCACACCTGTAATTCCAGCACTTAAGGAAGACAAGGTGAGAGAATCGCTTGAGGCCAAGAGTTCAAGACCATCTTGAGCAAAGTAGAGAGACCTTGTCTCTACAAAAAAAAAAAAAAAATTAGCTTGGAGTGGTGACAGTTGTTTATAGTCCCAGCTACTCGAGAGGCTGAGGCAGAAGGATTACCTGAGCCCAGGAGGTCGAGGCTACTGTGACTACTGTGAGCTGTGATTGTGCCACTGCCCTCCAGCCTGGACAAGAGTGAGACTGACTTAAAAAAAAAAGTACATAACATGAGTGAGAAACCCCTTTTAAACCATCACAAATGTTTATTAAGAAGAAGTTGAAAGGATTGGCAGTAGTGGCAAATTGCCGGGGAAAGGGGGGACACACCTCATCAACAAGGGTATCTGCGTAATGAACATTTGTATACCCAACCCTGAGTTGTAGCCCACATCTTTAAAAAATAAAGTAAAATAAATTGTTGGTGGTCAAAAAGAAGAAGAAGAAGACGAAGACGAAGACAAAGAAGCAGCAGCAGCAGCAGCAGCAGCAGTAGCTGAAGTTGGAAACCTGAGAATTTAAGAGGAAAATCCCTGAGCAGCATCTGGACATTTAAAAATATTATTTTCTCATCTTTCCATTCTCTTTTCCCCTTTGTTAGTGTGGGTTTAGAATAGGATATGGTGTCTTCTTATGAAAAAAATTGAAGGCTGGCAGCAACATCAACAAACATAAAAAGAAAATGCAGTTAAATATTCTGTAATTGAGCCGGGCTCGGTGGCTCAGCCTGTAATCCCAGCACTTTGGGAGGTTGAGGTGAGAGGATTGCCTGAGCCTGAGGGTTCGAGACTCGCCTGGGCAACTTGGCGAGACCTCATCTCTACAATAAGTCAAAAATTAGCCGGGTATGGTAGCGCATGCCTATAGTTCCAGCTACTTGGAAGGCTGAGGTGGAAGGATCGCCGGAGTCCAGCAGGTCGAGGCTGCGGTGGCCGGGAGCGGCCACTGCACTCCAGTCTGGTTGACAGAGTGAGACTCCAACTCAAAAAAAACAACAAAAAAACCCCCACAAAAAACCAAAAAAAAAAAATATATATTCTGTAATTGGTTAGAGAATTTCAAAGAGAGACTGCATAGTGTCTTATCTATCCCATCGCTGTAATTTAGAAACGAGGTGGACCCAGGTAATGGGATGTATTTCAAATAGCTCTTGGGATCTTGAGAAACTTAGTTTTAGCAATTTGGGAAACAAAGGAAAGAGTCTAGGCAATTAGAGGCTGGCATAGTATTCTTAAATGAAGAGAAATGAATTATATGTTGAAGATATTTATGAGAAAGAGAGAAGGGAATTATATTTAAGCAATGAAAAAAAAAAACTACTGCGAAGAGGCAGTATTTGAAGGTATCTGCTAAAGTCAAACCTTAAATTTGGGGATATCTGCCTAATTCATAAATATATAAGATGACCAGACATAGCATATATTTGGTATCATTTTAAAAAAGACATCTTCACAAGATTATTTGAAGTGTTGGTTTCTACTAGAAAGAATCTTTGAAAAAGCATTTCCAGTCAAGTCCTAACTGCAATATCTCAACAAATGCCTCTCAAAGAACAAAAGAAATTAACCTGAAATTGCCACTAATTTATAATTAATTCTCAATGTCTTCTAATAGTAGAGCAAGTATTTTAGATTGGCATGGCATTTGGTGGCAGATTGTTTAGAATGCTAACACAACCTACACTTGCTGGGTGATTTCTTAACTCACTATACACTGTATGCTAGAGAAGTCTTTAGAACAAGAGTATGAAAATCTATGCTTTAGTAAACAGTCATTTGAACAATTATTTTGTGGCTGTTTTATATCTAACAGCTTTTTTTTATTGCTCATTTTAATGAATTCTTTTTTTGTTGTTCAGAGGTTTGAAACATGACAATTATATCTATTATACAAAATTTTAGCCAGGTGCAGTGGCTCACGCTTATAATCCCAACACTTTGGGAGGCCAATGTGGGAAGATTGCTTGAAGCCAGAGGTTCGAGACCAGTCTGGAAAATATAGCAAGATCTCATCTCTACAAAAAATAAAAACAATTTAGCTTGTGTGGCATTGTGCGCCTGTTGCCCCAGCTACTTGGGAGGATGAAATGGATTGCCTTATCTCAGGAGGTTGAGGCTGTGGTGAGCCACGATCATGCCACTGCACTCTAGCCTGGGCAACAGAGAGTGATCCCAACTTACTTTAAAAAATGATTTTAAAAACTAATTTAAAAAAATACATTTTTAAAAAAATTAGATCTGTGTCAGTTAAATTGTTTTATTCATAGGATGTAACCTCTATCTTGAGCTTTGGGCTCTTAGATACAGTGGAATTTTCTCCTTACTGCTCAGTATGTGGAAAGTACAAAGGATGCTACTGTTAGAGATCATCTTCAAGAGACAGAGCAGGGTGAAGTGGTTCTCTCCAACCCAGCCTCCCAAGGCCTTACCATTGCTATCATCCTACTGTGGTTTTGTTTTTTATCTTTGTACAAAGCAGCTCACTGTTTTTGGAATACAGAAGGACGATGAGAATTTGACTGTATTTGCAAGCTCCTTGACTTGAACTGGTGTATATATTTCTGTTTCCTGGCTAAGAGCTTGGTGTATATATTTCTGTTTCGAGAGACACATCACAAGCGTCTGTGGAAATGGTTTGTGTTTATGGGAATTTAATATGCAATGCTGTTTATGATTTGAATCATGATGATGTAGGAGGAGAATATAAAATGTCTTAAACCAATGGAATTTCATGCTTAAGAAAAAGGCTGATACTTTCTATGTGCTAGCAAGTTTATCACGTCCCCTGCGTATGATTTGTGTCTGCATCAAGAGGGAAATTGAGAGGATGGCAGCGGATATATAAAAGCCCCAGTGCTTCCAGTGTTATGCTCTGGGACCATCAACCAAAAATAAATGTGGGAGACCTTTGACTGCAAAGAGAATCACTGCAGAACAGTAGAGAATGGAAAAAGCTAGCAAGAATGCTCTAGTAGTGAATTTATGGTTATAAACAATGGATCAGTTGGAGCTTAAGAAGGAACTAATGGGAGAAGTCAGTGTCTGTCATGATGGTTTTATTTTTGTAACTACTTCCAATTACCTAGGCAACCAATAACAGTGTATTACACTAACATATCATATCAGTATCATATGGGAAGTTGACCATTGTTTAGCTAGCTAAAGAAATGTATGTTTGTATTCTTTCATGTAATGTTGAATTAGAATAATTTAATTTGCCTAAGAGAGTTAATGAAACAAGTCTAGATTTTTATTTGATATTGCCTTTCACAAGAGGAAAACAACATTCATCTCTACTGCTGTCTGATGGAGATGCTTTACAAAGATTTCTGCTTTTCTAAAAAGAACTATTAAGTGGTTGATTATTTCTTTTCTTTTCTTTTTTTTTTTTTGAGTCAGGGTGTCACTCTGTCACTCAGGTTGGAGTGCAGTGGCTCGATCATGGCTCACCAAACCTCAACTTCCTGGGCTCAAGTGATCCTTCCACCTCAGCTTCCCATGTAGCTGAGACTATA